AAAGAATTCTATACTCAACAATGAATCAACAAGTGGACCAGAGACTTGGAACAAAGAAAACAAGGATCTACCGAATCTGTTAATTTCTATTATACTGCATTTAAGAAATTAGTAAAATGAGTAGATTAATATGAAGAAATGGGTGACTATTAAAAGCTTCGATATTTTATTCGAGAACTATTATCACACTTGGCTCCTATCGTCTCTATGAATAATCTGACCAGTATCCAAGAAGCAGTTGAATATACTCAAGCATATAAAGCAGGACAAGATATGAACAATTCGAAAAAGCCATCAGTATGATCCATGTGATACAATATTGTCAAGAACACTGAGGATCCAATGGATCAATTGATTAAGAAATTTGAGAAAATGCAATTGAATCTGGCTGAACGAATCGAACTTTTCTCAGCACAAGTAGAAAAACAAGCCCAACGTTTCACAAAATTCTTATCCAATCAAAAGAAAATTATTACCTGTTTCCGATATGGAAAACCTGGATATATAGTATATGATTGTTTATCAAAAAGGATCCAATCAAAGTCCATAAAACTAAGAAAGCAGATTAATTATTTGACTGTGGAAGCAAGTTCATCATTAAAGGATGAAGAGATGGGTGGGGTCAAGTGACTTAAAAGATAGGGTAATAAATCAGATGATTCAAAAGGATTTTGGAGACAATCGGTTGTGAAGTATTCAAATTTCACTAGGGCTTGAGAAAGAGTAATAAGAACTTTATCAAAGGAAAGGGGTTGAGTATATCTTATAGAAAAAATAAGTTATCTAATAATATAGTCTTGATTAATAAAAGAACAAGAAAGTAATCATTGAAATATTCCTGGATTTTGGACATGTAAGCAATAACAGAAAATTCAACTTGAAGCCAATACCAGAAGGTCAAGAAAGTAGTGATTGGTTCTTCAGATGGATAGCAAAGTTTATAAGAATTATCTGAATAGAATAGGTACTCTTGATTGATCTTACTATTCGGAGATAGCTTATGAAACTTGTCATGTAATTGATTAGTAATAAAATGTGTTTTAAAACTATTTATAAAACAAAATACTCAAATCCTTTATTAGATTTTGGATTCCAAATTACTGTTCTCACTCTTAACAATAAATACCTCCAATATTGCAAAGATCCAATTTCTTTTACACATCAGGAAATTTTTTTGGTGGAGATCTCCGGAGATCTCCACCCATAAAAAAATTTTTAAAAATTTCCGGAAAAAACTTCGAAAATCT